AGACTGATGTTTAAATGAATAATATATTTTTTTATGAACATCACAAATATATATTATAGACATAATACACGGTCAAAGTGCGACTGTGACGAAAATTTATCATTGAGAAAATTCCCTTTTTTGCTAGTAACGACTTTATTATTGCACCAAAAATGCTTGTGTAAGATTTCAGGCGAACATGATTAACGACCACGGAGTTACGAGCATTTGAAATGTCCAAAATCGCTGTCCGCCATAACAGGTGGGCAATTTGTCGACGCTGACCAAAAATAGCGGCTCATTCTTCTCGAGTTGCCATTTTCGCTTTACTATCAAATATGTTTGTGAAACAGTTGATAATCTTACTGAAGAAGGCCAACGGTTTCTGAAAAGCTAAAGTACCTCGAAATCCAGCTTTGGAATAGACTATATTTTCACCGGGGAAACATGAACTAAATGGATATTTACATCAACACTACATTTTGCTCGTGCCTACAGAGCTAGTTGGATTAAAACAGATGTTAAGAAGTAAGTGAAAATGTGAATTTTGTGAATTATACTTTCATTAAAATGTTTCAGAAGGGCTGCTAATGCCAAACTACAAATGTGACAGAGCTGTCAGTATACCCATATTTCAATGTTTATGTTGAAATGACCCATCTTCTTTGAGGTATAGCTTAAAAATTATGGTATGCTCATCACTTGAAACTAGCTTTAAATCAAAGTTTTATCTATAGTCTTTTTTTTAGAATTAAAATCATTCATGGGGAAAATGTGCCAAAGTAGGGTTGAAATTGCCCTGTAAATGTGCACTATTTTTGACATGTTTGGGTTAGTATTTCGGTGTTCTGGAAGGAAAATATGTCTTGAACAATACTGGTTGACCCTTAAATTATAACTAGTGTCATGTAAATCACAGAAAATTGAAAAAAATCTGGTCCATACACAATATTTTGGATATAAGGTCCTGAATGGGGCTTATTTCAATGTTGAATCTGTTTACCTGGAATAACTTAGAAAATTGAATAAGTCAGAACTTGACTATGGTCCTCATCCCAAACCAGGTTTTTCTAATTGCTTTTTCACCTGGGTTTGTGGCAATACCAGTTATGCGACCACGAAAAATGCGCGCGACACTTTTTTTGGACACTCATGAAGATGGTGACATTTGATGTTGTCATATATTGCCATCCTCTTATCATAGCATAACTTAGCTTATTTTAGTGAGTTCGTTAAAGAGTTGTGCTCATTATATTCCTGTAGTATCTAAGATTTTTCCATGGCATTATATGATAAATTTGGTTTCTATTTTCTTTTATTTTTAGGTGATAGTATCTGTTCACTTGAGTGTTGGTATCCAATTTTGGTCAAGTTTCAATTATTATTTCACATTCCTTTATTCAAATATCCAAATAAATGGAATATGACATCAAGCTGGAGGACCATATCCTGTTTCCAAACTTGTTTTGTAAATATAGAAAATGACAACTTATTCTATGTTGTTGTAATAAAAACTATTGTTTTTTATATGCATATTTAATTTTTAAAATTACATTTCATTCTTTGTTAAAATGTGTACCGGGAATACTGAAATCTTTCAGATCAGCTAACAGTACTTTTATAACTTATATAGCCAAGTGTTCTATCTGTTTCTGTTCAGCTTGGACAACTGAAGGGTAAAATATAGATTAGAATTTTTCAAAAAAATGAGCTTGCCTGTTTTCATAGCATAAAGGAATAAAATAAAGCAAAAGTACTTATTTTTAATTTAAAATCTTTGGACTGTACAGCTTAATGTTTTCCACTAAATAGTACAAAGTTTTCGTTAATTTAAAACCAGATAAACCAACGAAACACTTCTAAATATATGTCGCGATATTGATTTTCTTCGAGCATGCTCAGACAAATTGCCCACCTGTTGTCCGCCATTAAAATGCGCCATATCGATTTTATGTTGTCACGAAAGGCTTCTGACGTCATAGTTTCAACACACCGCAAGGGCACAAGTAGATCAGCGAGCTCACACGGAGTTTGAAAAAACAGCTCGATGGTTCATCCTCGTTTGTATCAGTCTTGTTTGCAGTTTCGCCCAACTCGTTTAAAATTTAAACCTATTTTCGATAATATGAAAACAATACTTGTCGCGTGAATTTATAATTGATCTGGACTTATCAGATTATGTAAATATGTATGTAGCTAAAATATATTCATATTTGACTAAACCTTACGCCTGTCTCTTCCATGTTGTTAGTTGCGCAGACGCTTTCCTCCAAATAGTAGGCACAGAATCTGGTTTGAGTCGTCGTTGCAAACCATCCAAATGAAATAAACGCTCAAAACAATCCGTTGAAAAATGGTTCAAACAAATCATGAATCGAATTTCCCGCGAGCTCGGATAAAAATTGGCGTGCTTAGTTTGCATGAATCTAAACGATATTCTTCTCAAACATTCGTCATTTGGGCTCTTATGCAATGATCTACCCGCGTTTTTGTCAGATGTATTGCTGCAATCTTGTACAGCACAACGCGATGAAGGCATGATTGAGTTTTACTATAGTCGCGTATATATTTTTATGTTGCACGCCCAGCGAATGTTGAGACTATGACGTCACAGACTTCCGAACCCTTGAACTTTCCAATATGGCGGATTTTAATGGCGGCCGCTAAAATTCGAACTTCATCGTAGTATAGCCCATGCCAAATATGAGATATCACGCTAAAATTTTGCGTGACAGCTTCTCTATACGCATTCTTCACAATCATGAAAAAAACAGAAATGAAAATTTGGTCACCGTCGCACTTTTTAAAATGAGGTTAGACTTATAGTATGTCATATGAAAAAAAATAAAATGGTTTATATATATTCAACTTGCAGAAACTAATTCCGTCCATAATTTCCAATATACATGCCAATATACATTACAATGTTGTTTTTAGGGTTTGTCATCCAAGTGAGTATATATACACTGATATAGCACAAATCAACTGTTTATGTCAAGAAATTTGTATCAAATAGGTCAAATATTGAAGGTCATTCATCAGTAACAAATGATGACAAGTATGGAAATTAGAAGTATAATCGATGCATATAGTTCTTGAATTGAATGATATAATTCCGCATACCAGATCAATGCAATAATATTTTGTCGCAGAAGAAAATCCAATAAACGGAATAGTAGGTTTAGTTTTGTACATTGTGTGCTATAAATAAGATCCCATTATGACATGTGGTTGTTGCACGTTGTTGATTGTAAGACAATATAGTATGGGATAGGGGAAGGGGGGTATAAATTGCTTACCTGGTGTTCTTGGCAAAGACATTCAGTTGCAGACATAGGGTGAATGAAGAAGTGAGCATCCCCTCCAGGATATATAATTATATACTGCAAGTTGATAATTATGACTGGTTGCAACTGTTACTATAAGTATTGATATTCCAATCTGAAGCTGAATCTCTGCGTATTAAATAATGAAACCCTTCAAATGCTTGCCAAAAATACACTCTCGACCTTTGCCATATTCAGACTAGTAATATACGTTGTTTTGACTGCGTTTGATGTTTAATTTTAACTGTAAATTCACAAATTTCCCTTTGTTTAATTCTTCAGTAAACCGCCATTTTGAAATTATGATCATTACGTCATTTCATCTATACGCTGTCGCTGATTGGCTAGAAGCAGGCTTACACACTTCCGGTACGCGCACGATAGCAATATATCTACATTCGCAGATACAAAAATGTTATCGATCTTTGGAGTTTCGATCTTTGGAGTTTCTTCGTTGTACATTTCACACCCTGCGTCAATTTGACAGTTGGCAGTCTTTGTTTCTTATGCCAGTCGACGCTGATTGGTTCGCGTTTAGCAGATGCGAAAAGGGGTTGAATGAATAAAACGCATGGTTCCGTGCAGGCTCACCTTTCTCCCAGTGGGCCTGCTCGCAGGCTAATGCGAAGCCTACGTAATGCGAACAGAAAATTACTGCGAATCGACAGATGCCGACGGATGGCCACATTGCTGAGCCCATGTAGCCTGTAAACGTAGAGCAAATGGACTTGTTGGTGGTGCCAAGACATTCTGAGGGAAGGAAGGTGGATTCGAGGCTGACGACAAAGACACAAGGCGAATAGGGCGAAAGGCAGGCGAAACTAGCGAACGCGATGTAGCCGATATAAACAACCTCGAAACTTCCGAGGAAATAACAGCTGGATTAGCAAAAAAAAAGTCATCTGAAATTCGGACAAATAGACTGACTTGCATAATGGCGTCACAATGCTTGATGGCCCCGGCGAATGCTGGTCTAAATAGTCATCCCCCGGGAAAATAAAACAATTCAAACTGGTCACTTTCGAAATTTTCCCGTACTATGACTACTAAGACCGGTATTCCCCGCGGGCATCAAGCCATGTGACGTCATTATCCATAAGGTCTATTGAAACATATGTACGTCAAATAATACAGTACGGTTCAGATTAAAAATATATAATTGTTTTAAAATAGTATTATCGGATCTAACCTGTTATACAATTAATAGTATATTGAAAAATCGAAAATGGTGGTAGCCTGACGGCATTATGCCATGTACCTTGTTAGCCTTACGACTGTATTCAGAAAGCTCACTCACAGTCATACTCAAAGAGTGGAGGTTCAACCTGAGCTTCTCTTGAGTGTCAGTGCGGTTTTTGAATGGATGGAGGATGAGTTGTCACAGAGTAAGTTACAACACTAACCTTTCAGCTATTCAAAAACATCATTGGCAACAATGCCACTCAAAGAAGCTCAGATTGAACCTCCACTCCTTGAGTGTGAGCTTTTAGAATACAGGCGTTAGACTTGCTCCGAATCTCTTTCGAATTGGCTTCATATAGTCTGTCCCGCCTGTTATGAGAATAGTTACGTTTCCTTAATTTTGAACTGATCTCACTTGGAGCAAGTTTACGCTATAGACTACAACCTACATATGACACATATCTTGCAATATGATCATGCTATATACAATCAAATCGTGTTTAAAGCACTTACTCCGAAATGTTACAGATATCACGATGGTAGGTTGACATGATACAGAATGCCTTGATTTCCTCTGCCATGTTCCCCCGAAAGAGTTCATCTCGGAGAGACCACTATATAAATACCAAATTAGTAAATACTTGAATTATAATAAATGCATCAAAAATTTGAAGTACGTACAATTTGTCGAATTGTACGTGCACTTTCTATATAATGCCGTTTTAAATCATAATAATCACACTGTACTGAAAGAACTTCCATTATAAAAAATTTACAATAATTACCCTTCATTTCGAACATTGACGACAACTGAGGAGTATGTATCAAATATAATTATGTCATCTATATACAGTTAACGTAGGCTAGCATATAAATTGAATTTCACTGAACGAGCATTTCAGAATTGAGTTAACTCAGCTAATCGTTATGCATGGCCAGATCAATTGAAATCCACGTCTAATGGCGGTACGATTTTTAAATATTAATCACACACGCCCTTTACAGTATACGGCTCAAAATGTTTGTCAACATCAACAGAATTTACACTGTTTACAGTTATTAGGCTATATCTGGACATGGTAAAACATCCTAATAAGACTATTTCCAAGGCCTTTCATGGTGGCGCCCTTGCAATTATAAGTACAAGAAAAAACAAACCTGATCTGCTTGGAAATCTTTCAATACGACATTGATTGCGTTATCAATATTTTCCTGTGGTACTGGCACTGTAAATGCTAAGCCGAGAAGGTCGGAGATAAATTCTCCACTGATTGCATTTTGTACACCATTGGCTGGAACTGATGATCCTATCTGGGGATCAAGAACGACGAAACTAACACTGCCAGTAGCAGGACCAATTTGGACAAGAACATCAACCTTGGTGAAGGTTCTGATAAGGAAATACATGTATGTTTTGACAAAACACATTGTTATAAATGAAATCCCTCTTTGATATCACCATTAACTGGAATAAGTTTACTTTGAAGGGAAGTTGCTACTACCATGCAGTTGCAACCAAATAAGTTTAAAACGCGTTCCAAAGATTTTTGAACAACTCTAAACTTTGAATTTGTACTAAAATTTTGCGGAATTTTCTCATTTTTCTGCCAAAATGCTGTTTAATTGCCAAGTCATCGTGATTGTGCCCCAAATTTCGAAGAATAAGGCGATTTCCTGCGAAATTGTGTCTAAATTGTATTGATGTATAATCTTGATATTTGCTGACAGCAATTTTTCTGGCTTACGTTTTTGTTATTTTTCTATAATTTGTACTGAGTGTGTTCAGTCTATCTCCAAAATCAAGGAAAATCGAAGGAATTGGTGAAAAAAAATTTGAATTTCTTAGCTATTTTGCTGAATATTCTGATATAAATGTTCATTTTGCTGCACAATACATAACTTTTAGAAGAAAAAAATGAACTGTCTGCTAAAATGCATGAGCAATAGAATAACTGGTGTAACATATATGGGTGTATGAATTTCAGAATTTCGCTGGAAATAGAATAAACGATCATGCAAGATATAGTTACCGAATCGTGTGTCTGAAATTCAGACACCCATATACCTCGCAATAGAATATAAGGGTGTCTGAAATTCATACATATAACAAATTTAGCTGAATTCAGTGAAAAATGATCCGCAATGCGGCTATTTTATAGGCATACTGTCGTCTTCAAAAAATTTCTATTGTAAGGGTAAGAAAACTTGAGAATTTTCATATAAGGTATTTTTTCCTCGATTTATAAATTGTTAAACTCACTGCATGAAATCTAGATTCACTGCGGACAGTTATAAGTTGCAGATTCGGTTATAAGTTGCAGTTTCAGACAGTTATAATGAGATTATTGGAAAAAAAATAAAAAAATGCACCGACCCATTTTTTGAAAAATACCTTTTCTAGCGGAGACAAATATAAGGAAAACCCCATTTTCGTTTGGAACGTGTGACCTTTGAATTATACTGTAAGGCAGTCTGAATGTCAGACATTCCTATGTTTTGCATCAGTTATATATTTATTGTGTATTGCCAGCATTGTGTATTGCATCCAAATATAGGGGTGTCTGAAATTCAGACGCCCTTATATATTTAAAAGATATAGGGTGCAATTTCTATTTAATTTAATTCAACTTATATTTGGTGCAATATATATATATAGGGGTGCATGAATTTCAGGCACACTTTTATCTGAAAGCAAGATATAAGGGAGTCTGAATTTCAGACTCCATTAGTTTTGGAAGCAAGATATAGAGGAGTCAGAATTTAACTTCAGGCACCGTATTTATTGTACATGTATATAGTGGAATCATGACTCATGAGTTGATATAAAAAGGGTGTTTGTGCAGACAATCAAATTGTGCCTGTCCGAATTTCTTTAAAAAAATGAAGAGTCTGCGACTTTTCGTTAATTTCCTTAATCTGTGCGGAAAATCACAAGTTTGGAACTGTTCAAAATTCTTTGGAACGCGTTTTAATTATATTCATGATAATTATATTAACTTGAATTTTTGCATGTAACACTTGAACTTTCTTGCAATAGTAGCTATAAACGAGATATAAAAGTTTGAATTTGAAGCAGGCTTAAAATCATGCATGTTCAGTATTTCTAGTCAATAAACGGTATAAAAACGGCTTAAACTAATTTCATTACAGTTGCCATTTGTTCGCGATTATTGTCTTACCTTCATAATTATACCCGGGCGCAAACACCCATACCTTCATATAGCCGCGGGCGCGAAATTAGTATCTTCTTTGGCTCAGGGCATTAATACAACATTTATAATAACACTTTTCACAAACCTACCCATTAGTAGGACAAATTACAGCCCCCGAATTGTGACAATATGCATTCAATCTGTTTGCAATTGTAGTTTCGACATCCAACCTAACATCCTGCCATTAAAAGACATATAATTTGTTTATTGATAAGATATTTCACCTTTTTTAATATAGGTCTAATGCAATATAACATTTTAATTGTCAGATCCGTAAGTAACAACTTAATCTTATTTCAAGTGGAAGCATAGTGCATGAATTGCAGCCGAAAGAGGAAACAGAAGAATGGGGGAGATATAGAGGATAAATACTAGAATATATTTTAGTATCTCAAGATGTCTTTTAACTGTTTTCGTTTTATTTCAACGTTAATTTCGTTTTATATACGAACCAAAGACCATTTGTATTTTCAAAACAACGATGAAAATGGCGGGAAATTTTCGAACTTCGTACGTCACTTGGAAGCGTGAAATACGCAAAATACGCGCATCTGGTCCCGGAGTTCTGGTCCGCGTATGAGTTCTACGAGTGTTTTAGTTTCCAGTAAAACACCATTGTCCATATAATAAAAATTACTACTTCACGTACATTTGTCCTATATGAAATCCATTCCACAAACTGGGGGTGGGCGCTGGGAATCGACAAAGAAACGCAATTTATTACACATTGCAAAATACTGGACACACGGTTGTTCGAAAGCTGGTTAGCTTAAATCTAAATTAACCTAAAATTCAAAGCAAACTTCCCAACAGCTTGTTTGATAAACATTTCGTCAGAAATGCTGTCTGGATCAATATAACTGTATAACTTTCTGAAGATTTGACAGAAGTAAACAGATGTACGCAACTGACGTTTTCGAGTCTTTACAATTTAATACATTTCTTTATCTAAATGGAGGGGCCATATTGAAGAGACGGGGACTTATTAATAGATAAATTATCATAAGCGTTGCTATCGGCATTTGATTTCACCATAGACAATCCAGGACTGGAAACGCTCTGGCAAAAGCAATGTTGCTGGCGCGACATCCGTAATGCGCTTAAATTACGAAACAATTATTTATAAACATTTCTGAACCAAAAATATGCAAATCTTGTTTTATATTTTTTCTTTTTTTTCTTTTTTGTATTTTTCAAATTTGTTTTTTTATATCACTGTAAAAAGAAAATATACGCCACGCTATATAGCTGATTTAACTTGTTATTTTGACGGTAAATACTAATCAAATTTTAAGTTTTGCAACAACGAAAAAATAAAAATGGTGCACGAAAAAATATCTGTACGAGAGTACATATGTTTCGAACCTTGGAACTTGAAGATAAAGCTATCACTTGCCGGCTACATCACACATTATCATCTTAAATGCACTATTAGTGTTTTTAGCGGATCAAAAGAGCTCTGCGATTCGTCAATTTGCTAAAAACAAGCCTTTTTCACACTGCTACATTTGCGCCAACTAGAAGATGGCTATTTCTGTTGACCCCACTTCGAACCCTGTAACTATAGTTTAAATAAAGTTCAGGGTTTGTAATTTACATATTTTGAACAAAAATAGATCTGTGGAGTGTGGATGCACTTATCCGGTTTTTAAACTTATATTGAGTCAAAGAAAGCCAAAAACGTCCTTTGAATGCTTGCGTAATGTTTTTGACTGTAAAAAACTCGCCATTGTTGTCAAAGTTTACACTCACTCCGAACCCTGTAACTATAGTTTAAATATAGTTCAGGGTTTGTTTGGTTAGCATAAGCAATTTTTCGTAGACACGTAGATGATAAAAAACCCGGTATACCTGTGTTGGATAGAGTCCATTTACTGTAAGTTGTACAAGGTTTACAGTTTGATCAGCTGTCAGGACAGGATTTTGACTCATAGTCGTATTTAGTACAGAAGGTTGTGATATGACATTTGGAGATGAAGTGTAAATAGTATTCAAAAGATCTGAGGACATTGTTGCTCCACCTGGTAGATAAACAAAGAATGACAGAATTGAATCCTCGCCATCTTGCGTGGGAGAATTGGGCAAAATCTGGATATTCAGGAAATCAATGTCGTTCAGTTGATCTCTATAATTAACAGAAAACGTGTTTAGTCAATGGAGGTACTACTATACCACCGCCGACGATACCCATGCAGAAGGATATGAACATTACTTAATGAAATTAAACTACTTTATTCTTCATGCTGAGCTTAACCCTTACGAAAATGTTCTATAGAATCCTATAGAATATGGTATAGAATATTCTATATCCTATAGAATATTCTATAGAACTTGCGATCCTATAGAATATTCTATTGCCATATTCTATAGAACTTCCAGATCCTATAGAATATTCTATTGCACATTCAAATGAAACATCCAATAGCATATTCTATAAAATATTTTCTATAATGAAATAGTATAGGATATTCTATAGAGTATATCATAGAATGTGATAAACCTATTGACTTAAGCCTAGTTTATTATTTATACTTTATTACAATATTATTGTGTCCCAAAAATTTACATGAAGAAAAAAGATCATGATTGATTTTAGAAAAATATTTCTTTCAAGACAATTTGTTTTTGAAACAAAAAATATTTTCCAATAATAACTTAACTGATTAACTTAAGATTCTTTAAATAAGATGTTTTAATATTTTCTTATATAATACTAGTCTTAATATAAGATAATTAGATATGATTTTCTTTAGAAGCAATAGTACGCGCATTGACTGGAAGCCTGGTGCCTAATTTACGTGCAAGGGCGCGAAGCTTCATGGGATAGCGTCGTTTTAAAATTGAAATTTCAAAATACTCTTACATGTGGATTTCAAGGGAAATTTTCCCTTATATTTTTACCCAAACGATGGAAAAGGCATTGGAAAGTTCTCAAAATGTTATTCAAATCTCACAGGTAAGAACAGTTTCATGTTTGATGCTATTTAAGCACTTTAATTCCGAAATAATGTAGTGAATATGATTGTTTATACTTGGGCCATGTGTCTTAAATTCCGTTGAATGTTTGAATTTGCCGCGTCGATTTGCATAAAAAAAACATACGAAATTTCGATTTCTAGCAAGGGAAGAATAAATAAAATATAAATTCGAACCATTATTGTGAATTCTATACTAAATTACCCACTATTGTAACAATTTAGCAATATTTGTCTTTGACATAATTTGGCACTTTGCTAGATGCATAGACCTTTGTCAAAGTATATGAGATAATATAATAATTAAACATATCAAAGATATATATGTTAATAACATTTTAATACTTCAATAAGGATTGGAATTACAGAATAATTACAGCATTTAATGTGATATTTTCAGTGTATTGATCTTCAATAACCCATTAAGCTGCAATGCATGTGCCCAAAATGCACCCTACTAATCTACTATTGCATTACTAGTCTGTCCAATGCCAGACAATTTTACTTCATCTAGCAATTAGCTATTTAATTCTCTTTAATGGGTCAATGAGCTTAATTTATTTGTATACATGTATACAGGGCTGCAAATAAATATTTGACTTGACAGAACATTTGTCCGATCACTTTTAATTTTGGTCGGACATAACTTGAATTTGGTCGGACAAAAACCAACACCACTAAATTTGGTCGGACATATACAGTATACGTCACAAGATATATATATATAAGTCACGAGAAAAGTATGTATAGCCATTCCGGCGCATTTTTTATTGCAAAATGCAAATTGAGTGAATTTGCAATCGGATTTTGTCACAGCAAAAAAATGTATGTGACAGTTTTTTTTGTGATCGGACCAATGTCCGATCAAAATTACTTTTGCTCGGACATTTGCCAAATTTAATCGGACATTGTCCGATGTCCGACAGTAATTTGAAGCCCTGTGTATAGAATATATCTGTAAAGCTTCAAGATGCACTAGTGCCGATTGAGATAAAGCCTTTATATATATTTGTATTAAATATTGCAGCTGGGTTATAGCCCGGCCCCAAATATTGTTCTCAACAGCTGAATATTTATTTATTTATTTAACTTTGCCAAGTGACATTGAACATTTAACAGTATATTTACAACAACATAATATGTTTTCTATTGGCGGGTTGTATGCTACAGTTTTCATTAACCCATTGGGCCACAATATGCCACAGCTAATAATGGGTTAAATTAACCAAAAAATCTGACAATGTCTCTAGTTAACCCATTGGGCCACAATGTGCCCCAGTGTGCCCTATTTTTTTACTTGTCTATCTCTGGGCGATTTTACTCATCAATGGGGAGGCTCTGCAGCTTAATGGGTTAATTAGTGCTTTATATGAGGAAAATGACATCCTGGCCCAGCTAATTGTGGTCCCCAAGCCAGACAAATCAGTCTGGATCTTCTAAAGTGTAAACACCCCTAAACAGGGCCGTGCTTCTGTAACTGATATACATGTCTTTAATTGAGTTAAACTTTTAATTAAAAGTAAATTTAATTTTATTTAAATGGTTAGCTAGACACATAGGCATGCAGATGGCCTGATTAACCCATTAACGTCCAAGCCCCTTTCCTTGACAAGTAAAATCATCTGGTGTACGTTATACAATACAGAGTAAATACTAAAGTGGGGCATATGGGGGTGCATTGCACATTAAAGGGTTAACCCATTGAGCAAAACTGCTTTCCCCCCCTTGAAGAGTAAAGTTGTCTGGTCACCCTGGTGTTAGACAGAGTAAAATAATAGGATGCAATGAAACTTAATGGGTAAAATTTACTCAATTTTCATTTTTAGTAATGCCATGCCTAACAGATATAGTTTCTGACTTGCAAGAGCCAGTAAGGCTCTTGAAAAATGGGCAGTGTTCTTCTTGAAGACCATGCATCAATGATGACCACAAGGATTAACAATGATGAGATAAATGATTAACACAAGGATTAACAACATTGTGACAAGTAGAAAAGTCAAACCAGAAAGCATCTGCACAGAACAGTAATATTAACACTTATTGTAATAAAAATATTCACTAAATAGAGTTATTCAACAACAGTTTTGACTAGTTCAAGGTTTATTATTTTAATTCTTGCATAGTTATTTTGGCTTGTGAACAATGCCAAATTGGTTCTGTTGGCAGCACTTTTGATCCAATCCTGGATATTTACATCTGTTCGTACTTAATATGGAAATCCAGGCAGACCGAAATCTTTGCAATGTTTATATACATGATATTCTCCACATAATAAATTTGTTATAATTGTTGCCAACTTGCGAGTTGCCAACTTGCTTGGGCCAGTTGTATAAAAGTCTTACAATGACTATCTTTTAAATACCCATTTCCTAGTTGAATGATAGCTATAAACACATAATTCTGATTGTTTAACTAGCTGTTCCACTAACTATTAGTTATTAAACTACTTTTTTAATACAACAGTAATTGTGTTTTCTTCAATTGAATATTCCATAGAATGTGCTATAGAATATCCAACAGACGTCTATAGAATCTTCTATAGAATTCTGTTGAATATTCTATTGGATGTTCCATAGAATATCCCATAGAATATGTTCCAAAATCGTTTAGAATATGCTATAGAATATTCAACAGACGTCTATAGAATCTTCTATAGAATTCAGCTGAATATTCTATTGGATGTTCCATAGAATATCCCATAGAATATGTTCCAAAATCGTTTAGAATATGCTATAGAATATTCTATAGAATTCAGTTGAATATTCTATTGAATGTTCCATAGAATATCCCATAGAACATCCCATAGAATGTGTTCCAAAATCGTTTAGAATATGCCATAGAATATCCTATAGAATATTTCAATGTAATATTCTATAGAATATTTTTGTAAGGGTTATTTAATGGGCAATCTTTATATCATTCGATTACATTATATAATATTTGTGGTTTATGTAATTTCTATCTACCGTATAAGGTCTTGGAGGATACGATTCGATCCTAGAATAAATTGTTTCAATTGAATTTCATTAACACTTTTATGCTTTAGCTTCTATTCACGTTTATAATTGCATTTATATATTCCTAGCACTATAATACATAACATAACGATAGCGATGACGTGTATAAACTTTTGTTCTAATATACTTCATTATTAACATACCGTGTGAGACCGCACGAAGCCAATCGTGCATCACTCTGATTACAAAACTGGACGATTGCTTCAGACATGTTATTTCGGAAAGATATATCTTGTTGCAGCGTCCACTACAAATACATTATAAATTAAATCTTAGTTTAGTATTTGGAAGATATACACGGTATAGAGAAAAGTATCAATCGAAAGTACTTTCCCCAATAGTTACATTTAAGTTATAGTGTGTTTTCACATGACGTCACAGCATAAATTAATTTTATACGCCGCCATGTTGGTGGAGTGAAGTTCCAACATGGCGGCCAGCGATTCGAAACTAAACGTAAACAGCGAGGCAGAAAAAGTAATTATTCATGAGATTCCTTTGTCTGGACATGCAAAATCTCTTGAAGACAGCAACAGTCAAATGATTCAGAAGTCTTGTTTACACATTGGTTCGGTGGATCCAAATATTCCACGATTTTATAATGTGCATGTATTAATACAGATGCGAACTTACTTGAATGCTTGCCTGAAAGCTGGTCTCATGACTCTTTTTCCGACGGTTGAGAGCACAAAATAAAAAAAGATTACACCAATATTCAGTTTGCATTTTTATTGAACTAACTGTTAAAATTAGTATACATAAAACTCTATCAAAGACAAAGATAGAAACTTTTTGCAGTTGAAAATTATTGCAGACTTAAGACTTTGATAAACATTAAACATTTTTGGTGGTCAAGACTGAGAACCTCGACATGGTGACCACTGGGCAACAGCATGTTGTGTAAACAGGGGGCAGATTAGCACACCAGGCAGGACCCCTATATTGTTTAACTGGACAACATTTAATTTTGCATATTATTCGTACAATAACATATGTTGGTCTGTTAAAGTGTTAATCTACCCCTGTGTAATTGAAACCTTTTGCACAACCTGTTGGCTAATCTCAGCACTTTACACAATGTTCATACTTTGATTTGCCACCATTTAAGGGCCTGGTGTAAATTTTGAGTAAAGATTTTGTCAAATCTGATATCTATGGGACCCTATATAAAATAGTTTATTGCCCTGGCCTACCCCAAGTCTTTGGGTGGCTCAATCAATTACTTAACCCCCACCAATAATACAGTCCCAACGGACATGGTTTTTACATTGTTTCAATGTTCATGGTATTCAAACAGGCCTAGTTGAAATAGTAATGTATTTATTCCCCATATCACAAGCCCACATGAGAATTGCACTAAATATTCTTGCTGAGATTAGCCAGCATGTCGTGGAACAAACAGGGGTACATTTTTTACTTTGCAGCAGCAAAAGGGTCTCTTTTGGACAAAGTACAATTAAGGTTACAGGACACCCTTTTTGGTGTTTTGCCGAAAATCGCTACTGCGCGCTCAATATCAGTCCGATTTTCATCAAATTTTCACCAAATGTTCTTCAGTGCATGCAAAATATGATAAAGTTGTAAAATTAACAAACAATAAAATAATGTAAGGAATTATTCAGGAAAATCTTAAGTAGCGGTACCTTTACGCTTTTGAGTTGTGCTCTAAAATATCATTTTTATACAGTAAAATAGTTGTTCTAAAAAATTGTGTTCGGAAATTTTTGTTTATTTTGTCATTCCGCTGATATGGCGATTTCTTTGACGACTGCAATATATTTCTGAATTGTTCGAGTGAATTGCTCTTTATTTTTAAAATATCCAAAATTTAAAAAAATCCGAACACAATTTTGAAGCTAACGTATTTAGCTATGTTCTGTGAAAATTTGAAAAAAATTGGTTAAAACCCGCAGGAGCACAACTAGTTTGAAAATCAGTAATTACCGTAAAATTTCCGGGAGAAAATTGAATTTGAATATTACATTTTCAATGTTTTTCTTATTGCAGCGAAATGTATTTTATTAAATAACTCTGCGAGTTTTCAACATTCTTCGTTCAAACTTGGTCAGATAGTAGAACTAGTCTAATGCCTTCATCGAAATCAATAAAAAAATTTTAGGCAAAATTAACACTCAAAGGTGTTCTGTAACCTTAAAGTAGCCTACAAATCCACCCCTGATTTACACAACATGCTGTTGCCCAGTGGTCACCATGAGGAGGTTCTCAGACTTGATCACCAAATTTCCAAATGTTGAAAGAATGTGTTTCTGTTTCTTGGTGAAAACATAATGTTGTAAAATACTTATACTTCAATCAAAATGTATATAGTATGAGGGCAAAGGTTTACTAGTGCAGAGCAAACTCGAATCATTCTGTCAATGAGAGGAACAGATTCTCCTTTTCCGCAAATAAGGTAATGAGTTGGCAAAGTTTGTTGCAGAATGGTATATTTCTTTTTGAGTAAACCATTAATTCTTTCGACATGTATCGGGACAGTAGCAATCTTTCTTGTCAGTTCCACATCAGCAGAATTAAGTTGGTCTTTTCCTTTTGTGAATGCCAAAATGTTCAATTTGGCTTGGTGAAACTGAACACTTTCATGGAGAGTGAAACCCCTATCCGCCAGAACCAAATCACCTGGTATAAGGTTGTCCAGAAATCCACAGTTCTCAGTCAGGAACCTATCTGAAGTCCTCCCTTCCCAAGCTTCACTGACAAAGCAAATTGTACCTTGTGGTGTAATTCCAATATTTAACACTTTAACAGTGTTATGATGCTTGTAACTTGAAAACGTCTGTGCCTTTGAAAGGAGATTAGTTTGTCTATCAATAAAAGTCAGCAGAACATGGTTTACCCAGAAATTAAAACTTAGATTGAAGCATAGAATTATGACACTCGCTTGTCTGAATTGCCAACTGTTGTTGAAACGTCTGTTTGTAAAATGGCCGGCGTTTCTCGCGTTTTCTGGCAAATTGTCTAATATATCGTCCATAGTCATAGGATCAAATAAACATTTAACAACAACGCCAGGTTCGTTTACTCTCTGTAACTCCTCTTTGACCATTTCTTCTGTATTCTCCGATAGTCATCTTCGACTGCGTTTATAATATGGACGACAGCCATCTTCGACTGCGTTTGGTTCACAATATATCCATTTCCTCGCCTTGATTTTTAATAACTTTCGGCACCCGCCAGAAAGATCTTTACGTTTAGATTTGTTATTTGAACAGTTTAACACTACACAAAAAGCCGCCATATTGAGGATATTTCGAACAGATTTGGCACAGCTATAAGTAAACACTAGTAAATTCCTCGCACGTGACGCGTTTTACTCCACCAACAAGGCGGACGCTAAATTCTAGTGACGTCACAGCGGTCCGCGTGAAAACACACTATATGATGTCCATTAATTTTTCGCTTGCTCGTGAACACAAATCTTACCTCACTAGGTTGGATGCCGGTTAAACGAACACTGATCGCGTTATCACGCTGATTGCCTGAAACCGTAGGCACATTGACAACTCCAAGGGTAATATTGGAAATTTGTGTCTGACCATCTTCTTGAATTGTCTGATGTAAAGCGTCTTCGACAACATTGCCTTCTACTGGAGTATCTGTTCCTGGTTGACTGACGACGACACCTAATACTGTGTTATCCCCAACATCCATTACAGAGCTCCCATCGACTATGACATCATTTTGGCTAAATTGATCGCTGTAAGGAAAAAATTCATCGGTAAAATGTTTTGAAGGCCACTACTGGCAACAAGAAATTTTCATAAATGCACTTTATGAAATTTAACGGGGGTAAATACAATGTCAGTGTATGATTTTCATTATCATTTGGGAAACCTGTCATAAAACACATATATATTCTCCAACGTTTTCCTCAATTTTATGCATTTCACTAAATAACAACTTACATACAGCATATATTTACGCTCCATGAAGACCAATTTGGATTTTAAAATTTATTTCTATTTTCATAACGCGCCGCGTAGAGGCTAAAAATTAACGCAGTTTAAACGCATGTAAATATGGAAAACATAAAAACAAGTACGGGACAACACAACAGTTCATACCAATTATTGTGAGCCTCTTAATTAATTACTAATCCTACAAGTTTAGGAATAATGGAATAAAATTTTAAAAAACCAACACACCCACTCATCTATCCACAAAACAAACACACCCACAAAGAAGACAAAACAAGCAAAAAACCCCGCACAAAAAACAAAAAAAAGAAAACAATAAAGAAAACTCAAAGTCTAAGAGCAGGGGCCGGTTGTATAAAAACGTAGTTAAAGTTGACTGTAATTAGCGCTAACTACCGTAGTTAAATCCTTGACTGTAGTTAGTTAATTGCGTGACGAAAGTGCGTTGCACAAAACGGAGTTGGACGGATAATCAACTAATCACGTAGTTAACAGTGCGTGGAAATTGCCTGGGATTTAAACACGAAACAAGATGTTCTTTATAGGGCGTTATCTCGCTGGGGCTCAGTACAAATACGCACATTAATGTACATCATACATTTTCAATTAAGATTTAAGGTTTTCCTCGAGCTAAGCGGAAAAGTCGAATACGAGCGCGAAAGGCTTAACACAGTTATAAATAAAATGCGGTAGGCCCTACAAGTAAAGTTATATTTAGTACGCTACATTCTTCAAGACTGTCAGCCGCCAGTTGGCCCGTACGCTAGGATTAAACTGCGCTTTAAAACGTTCAAAATAAATTATTTTGGAGCTTTTGGGCTCAAAATACTATCAAAATGAAGAGAGAAATAAGACGAATCCACTAGTATACGGCCGAAAAAGAGAAAACCAATGATACCAAAGTTATCAAGGATCAAACGTGCTGTATTTTTTTATAATAAGGTTTAATAATTTTGAGCGATTTGTCAACAATACAATTTCGCTTGGCTTTCAAAGACAAATGCCATAAATCGCTAGAATACTGTTGTTTAGTAATACATTTGATATCCGTAATTATTACAATTTCTAACGCTGAATTGAGCGGTGGTATTTTTATACTTATTGCACCATTAGGCATTACAAATACACTATGAAACGTACAACGAGTGATTGTCAACAATAATTACGCACTGAGAGCGATTTGTCAACAATACAATGTTTAGTAATACATTTGACATCCGTGAGTACAATTTCTTACCCTGAATCGATCGGTGGTATTTTTATCCTTATTGCGCCATTAGGCATTACAAATAGTATACTGCGGCGAGCGATTTGTCAACAATACAATTTCGTTTGATTTTCAAAGGCCATAAATCGCTAGAATACTGGTGTTTAGTAATACACCTGACATCCGTAAGTACAATTTCTTACGCTGAAACGAACGGTGTCGCTTTCTTCTCAAACTATAAAGCAGCGCAGCCAAACGTAACTTGCGATTTGCGAAGGTTGCTTTTCCCATGTCGAAATTCCTTGTAAAATGTTCAATTTTCCCGAATTGTCCTCAAAATGCAGGGTTATTTATAGATAATTTGGATAAAATTGGCAGGAGCCTTATGGATAATAGGGGAATTAGGCAGCTCATTAATATTCTATTTCGTGGCTATCGACGAATGGAGATTGGAGATTGGACATTGCAGATGCAAGAATGACGCCAGTGGCAATGGGCACAGTGCCCAGCGAGTAATTACATAAAGTAAGTTGTAATTATACAAGCATATTTAACAATAACATTAATAAATTAATTATTGTGGACTAGCGTTTTGCAAATAGGCGGTAATTTTATTCAAAATAGTGAAAACTAAACAAGAAAACAACGAAAAAATCAACGAAGAAGGCTATTTTTACTTGAGATGTCTACGTTAAACCAAAGTGTAACTGTTTGGCAATTATATATCATGTTTGTTCGTGTAATGGGCCCTACGTTGTCTGCGAGAAATCTTCCCGTGCAAAAATATATTTCAGTTGTTTGCGCAAAAGCACCAAAGCGATAGCGTTTGAAAAGTTTATATTGTGAGGAAACATTCGCAGGGAAGATAGCGATGAAAATCCATAAGGTGAGCGTTGATTTTCATTGTTGTTTTGAATGAAAAATGTTGTTCAATCTTATATGCAGCGATATTTTTAACTAACGTTTTGAGAAGTTAACGATACCCTAGAGCCAGAGGAGGTTGGGTGACTATACCGGCATGCATTGCGGCCAGGCACATTTTATTAGATATTATCTATTTCTCGGCAGTGCACGTCATTGCTCGATTAGATTTCGCGGAAATCAGAACTGGAGAAGTAGTTCAATTATTGCAACTAAAATGGCAAGTTTTCGTTGCATTCGTGAGAAGAATGTTTCGGTACTTAACGAATACGAGCTTCTGTTTGTTCATTGCGTGAATGCGTGTCTAAAGAAACTTTGATCTTGATCCCAAACGGATTACCGTGTGTCGAACTTGAATGTCGTGAGAATAGCGCTATGTCCATCGGTTGTTTATAATGGAATTGAATGAAAACGACGAAATTATGTTCGCTGAATGCAGTCTTGCATTGATAGAAATACAATTCGAGCTGCATTTTTACGGTAAGATGATTTAGATGCACGTTGTTTACTTTAATTCATTGTGTTGTGTAATTAAAAGTTTGTAATCAAGTACTTGAAACCTTTGAAAATGTTGACATGTTTAACATACGTACATCCATGTTTTCAATAGAGGAATTGACTAACATCATTGTTTAATTTGTTTTGACATAGTGATTCATACTAATTGATCGTAGCTGGGGGAGAATATTTGGTTGAGGAGAAAATTAATTCATTTCAGTTAATGAACCTGATACTGCATAAATGTACCCTATTTTATTATTTTATTCTACCAGATATTGTTAGGCCTATTTCTTGAAAATATTCAGTGATAAAGATGATTGCCACAGCTTTGTAGAAAGCATGCTTTAGTTGTTTTAGCAGCCCATTTGAGATATGTAGTAGGTCTTGTACACCTATAAACACAATGCATAACAAAGTCTGTGCTCTCTTTGCTTATCTATCAGTTGTTTTCATCAATGGAAGTGGTTACACATGAGGATATTCTTGACATGACATGGACAGGATGAAGAACATCTGGATGTGATGAGGTGAATGATGGCGATATAGCTCTGGAGATGAAAGATGTTACGGGTATTTCAATATAGCTGTGAACCTTGGTTGCATTACAAAATACCCTTCATCTCAATATCTTTGATGGAAGGCTTACTATATCTTGGCATAAAAAGAATCACATTGTACTACCATACGAAATGTGTGATGCTATACTGTACTGCATTGAAACAACCACTACTACTAGTGTTTGACATAAATAGAAATGCAGAATTGTTTTGGCGGAGTCTCATTATACTGACTTTTCTAGCACTCAAAATAGCGGGTCAAGGGTCAATCATCTGGCACAGAAAATAATATACAGTGGTTACATAATTTGACACCAAATCTCTGGTTTGAACATCATCCTGACCTATTAAATTCCCTTATTTGTTTCAAGTGTGGGTATTCTGTAAATGCCATCTTACCAATTCTGCAGTTTCATATGGCTATAATAATAAACAATGAACCGATTAAATACCTGCTAATATAACAGTTTTAACACATGGTATGGTTTTATTTATTTCAATCTTAATATAAAAGATACTTAAGTAAACAGATCACACAGAATTGATGTTCAATAAAATATATTTCAGTCAAAGTAAAAAAAAAATGATAACATTGCTCTAATTATGCTACATGAAAGGTGTATAATAAAAATACACTGTATATGAATAGTGATGCTTTTTGTCTTAATGATGTACATTTAAACATTCTAGAGCAATTACATTTCTTTGTAAACCTGTAAAATTGTAATAATTTGTGTTTGAACCTCACTTATAGTTGATTCCATGACAGGCTTATATTTACGAGATGTAGCTTTCCGCTTATCAATCACAAGTTCTGCTAAACTGTTAGATTGTGTCAAATCATAATGAATTTCACTTGCAAACAGTTGTTCGTGCTCGTAGACGGCGATCGATCTATATAAAGTATGAAAAACAGATAAAGTGGTATAATTTATGATTAGGACACATTTTCACTCTGTGTCATCATACTGCTGCTCTATGACCTGACAATTTACTTGAAACATCAAAACAACTAAAATTGCCAAATTGGACATTTAATGGAAACATCTATTTTTTTGAATTTTGCAGGTCGTACACCTATTATAAAGAACTCTAACAAACTTACTTGGCAGCAGAATGTTTGAGAAAGTACTGCATATTTGGATATGCATGGCACCATCATTCCAGAAACAGTTCTTCGCATTAAACGATGTCCAATCTCCAACAACATGTGTTCCATACTTTGCATCTGTTTTGATAATTGATATGAATTCAAAAAGTGCCTAATCTTTTTCAAAGGTCCATTTATGATATTTTACTGGTGACTTCTTCATAGGAGTCAGATAAATCTTTGTGCTAGGAAACTACAAATAAACAGCGTAAACTTCAATGTGTAAATCGGAAATTGCTCTTCAGTTGAACAACATGTAGAGTCTTTTTTTCAGTCGTACTGTATTTTTATTATATGTTTAATATAGTAATCTGGATATATACCTTTGGTGATGTTCAGGCGCGGATCCAGCTCCTAAGCTGACTGACGCCTAAGACCTAGCATTTGTATGGGGGTCCGGGATTATGCTCCCCCGCGAAATTTTGAAATCTAGGATCTCGGAAA